CAAATTGCACTAGAAAAAAAAAAAAAAAAAAAAAAAGAATCATTTAACTTTATTTATTCATTAATTTTAATTTGATCAAGTGGGGGAACGTGAGAAAACAAGCTGCCAGGTCCAGGACTCGAACCGTAGCTGGCCATGTGGGAGTGTCCAGCACCTTAACCACCATGCCACCTGCTGGACCCTGCCCTTTTACACCCTTTGTTATAAACACTGAGGGCCAGGGACTTGGAGGGGAGAGGGGATATGAATATCTGTCCCAGCGGATTTCAGCTCCCTTCACACCGCTGCATCTTCAAGATGAGCTCAGAAGAGACGTCTGCAGAACAGGGGGGAGGGCACGGGCTTCACGGACCTGCGGAGTCATGAAGCAAGGGCCTCCTTAGGACATGAGTGTCAGGCTCGGTGCAGACCCTTAGGAACGTCTAGCCGTTTGGGAAGCAGAATCTGGCACTCTCACTCAGCCCGGTAGACCCCTACCCCCAATAAAGGCTTTCATGCATCATCTGCTTCTGAGCGCTGCCCAAGCCCACTTCAACATTCACAAGGAAATTAATTTCAAAGATGGGAAGTGCATTATCTCCGCTCCTAACAACAAAGACTTGGGGTTTAGCTGTTGTCAAGGCAACAATAGCAGTTTTCTCTCTGGCTCCTTAATGCCTAGATTTCGTTCCCATAGTTACAAGAAATCTCTAGTTCTTCAAGGTAGCGCAAACTGGTCTGCCAAAACTTTCAGGGATGGGTTGTGGCTGTTGGCTAAAAGCATGCCCCCGACACTGAAGACACCTGTGCCTACCTGTGTCACTTCACCCGGGGGCGGGGCTTTGGCTGTGGCTAAGTGTGGCTCCTTCAGTTACCGCTTGGACCACTCCACGAGTCAGAGAAGCTACAAGTTAGAATGAGCCCAAGAGGCAGAGCTTCCTCAAACTGCTGCTGCTGCAAAAGCACAAGAACCTACAGGCTCAGCGGTCCTGCAGGGCTGGCCACGATGGAGACACAATGCACAGAGGAACTCCAGACACCTGGAGCCCCCAGGATGGCCTACAGGGAGGCCAACCTCCATCTCTACCCGCCCAACCCCCAGCTTTTGGAATATCCATTTCTGGAGCCCAAAAGTTCCTTGCTTGCCTCAGGGTTAAGTCCCATGGACCTGACTTCCCAGACATCTGTGCAGCTGGGCTGACGGTGCTTTAAGCACCTGGTTCATCCATCAGTTCTTTACCTAAAGGCCTAATGGCCTTTCCTTTATAAAGGACACCCTGGCAAATAGCTAAATACTGCTCTTCTAGAAGAGTAGGTGCCAAACCAGGCATGCGTGTGTGTGCACGCACATGTGTGTAAGCATGTGCACACACACGAGTGTGGTAGGAGGGACCCGATCTAATGGAGCACTGTCAGAGAAAGAAGGAGGGAGCTGGTGCAAGACCCCACAGGATTCTGAAGAGGGGCACTGGCCCGGCTTTGAGGCTCTTCCTTGCTGTCAACATCAGTACCCCTAACAGCAGCTTGCTGCCTCCCCAAGGCCTGAAAAAGGTGCTAAGCAGGTGATGAGGGGGACACAAAGGCGGGAACCCCAACTGTGCTGGTTTGCCAAAGCTGCTGTCCCAGAGCACACAAACCGGGGGCTCAAACAGCAGAGCTCAGGGAAGCCCGAGGCAAAACCACGGCAGCAGTCAGTGGCCCCCGCCATGGCCATGGGGAGAGATCTATTTGAGGCCTCTCATTGGCCTTGGAGATGCCACCTTCGTGTTCCCGCAGCACTCTCCCATGTGCGTCTGTGTCCAAATTTCTCACATTTAAACAGACACTAGTCACGTGGATCAGGGACCTTCTCCTCCGGGATGGCCTCATCTGAACTAATTACACCTGCGGCGAGCCTCTTCCCCAGTAAGACCATACTCCAGCCACTAGGGGTTAGGGATTCAACCTATGGATTTGTAGGACACAACTCAACCTGGAAAGTCAGCCCTGACCTTTTGAGGGGACAACACCAGCCAAGCTCTCAGCACCCCTGCACAGCAACCACCGACTAGGTCCTTCTGCAGAGAGACCACCGAGGCGGAGTAATCTCCCTGACATCATAAAAGCGGCAAGCAGCAGCAACCCGCGCCGTCGAGCCGTGACAAGCCAGCAGGTGGCACGAAATCATACTGGACACATGCCAGAATGACACGAGGACTAGAACGTTCCGGGACCACCACAGGGTCAGGAGGTCAGGGATGTCTTCACCAACGAGGTGAGGTCTGAGCCAGGACTTGGTACAAAGCAAACCAAACTTCCCTGCACCAGAACCTAATCAAAGAGATATAAAAAGGAACCACTTTTTTAAATGATAAAAGCAGCATCTTGTTATTTTATTACGGAAATGATTGTGCACACACCAAAGTTGAGACAGCAATATGTGTCTCTACGCATCCATTACCTAGCCTTAGTGCTTCCCAGTATTTTTCCAATCTCTTTTACCTATCCCCTGCCACTCCTCCTCTTTTTTCTGAATTGTTCTAAAGCAAATCCCGGATGCATTATCTTACCCATCAGTACTGTTACATTACATCTCTATCAATGAAGGCTTTTAGTTTGGTGTAGGACACACATGGTCCCTGAAGACAGAGAAGGAGAGTGAGAAAGCACACCTCGCCCCATGGCGGATGGCCGTGCCACAACCCTTTTCCGTTCTCCCCTCTGGATTTTGGGCACACACCCACACGTACTTGGCATGTTTTTCAAGCTGTCAAGTCTGGGGCTTAAACCACACAGTCAGCCACATGGGATCCAGCAACCTTAACCACCAAGCCAAAGGCTGGTCCGACCTTTTTTATACAACTACAATGCTGCTATCATACCTAGCAAAACTGGCAAGAATATCACTTAACATCCAGGCAGAGGAATACTTCCCTAATTGTCTAAAAGTTTGTTTTCGCAGCTCAGTGCTTGGACCAGGCTGTAACATGAAGTGTGTGATTAACGTCCCACATTTAGTTCTGAGATCTCCCCATCTCCCCACCCCTACCTGACTTTTCGTTTCTTTGCTATGTAAGAGGGAGGACTTCAAAAAGGGCATGGAAAATCCTCATTATGAAAAACTATGCATGGATTTCAATTTTTGTATTAAAAAAAAAAAAGAAAACCTCATATGTTAACTCCATGTGTCCATGAACTTCTCAAAGGCCCCTCACATGTGTGTTGAAGGAGCCAGGTTATTTGTCCTGCAGCAAGTTCCACACTCCAGACCTGGCCCCTACCGCTAGGGGCAGGAGTTATTCAAGTTCACCTTCTGGCAGGAACACAGTGCTATTGCGCTTCAGGAGGTGCAGACTCCAACGCCTCCATCTCAGTGACGCCAAGACTGCTCGGTGAGTTTGAGCGCGGTCAACCTGGTTGGTTCCACACACGGCTTCCCATTAACCTTATTCCCGAGGGCTGTGACAATGAGAACGGTGGCCCAGACGTGTCGTCTCATTAGGAACAGCAAGACAGCAAGGTTCAAATTCAACCATCCCTTCCTCATTTGTTAACTCAGACTCTGCCGGGAGGAACTTTCCTTCGCCCACTTCTCACCAGGGATACAGCCAGCACGGAGTGCAACTCAACGCCTATTTCTCCTCCTCTGTCAGTTATCAGAGTGAGCTGGGGCTCTGTCGGTCTCCAAGGGCAACCAACCAGCTTATTTCTTGAGCACCGCTTTGACCCTATCGATTTGTTTCAATCAGCTGCAGCCATTACTCTTCTTGTTACCCCAGTTGACTGCCTTCAGCCAGTGGAGCCCCTACTGTATTGATTTCTATAGCCTTCCAAGCGATCTTATTCATCACAGGCAACTTTCCTGCTTTCTGGCAAAATAAAAACTCCCACGTTCAACTTGTATGTGTCCTGCCCTAGATCTGGAATCCGCAGTTCCTCTGAAGACCTGTAGTTCTTTTTAGCACCAAATAGTATTTAGAGATCACAGTGTGAACATTCAAAGTACTCAGTGCTACTGAGTACTGCCATGATGACAAGTTAGTCAATATTTCCAGGACTTTTCCGTCGACAAAGTTAAGAAGCAGGCAGGCGTTTTTGTTTTATTTCTAGGAAGGAAATAACTCACGCATTCATACTGATACGTTTCATTCAAAGTTTAAGATTACAATTTCTATTTAACTTATTTGGGTTTTATACACATATCACTTTACTGTCACATTGAAAATTTGGGGTCCAAAAGATATGAACATAATTTTCATTTGCTTTAACCTACATTATCACATAACAGCTTCACAATAAAAATGCCAATTTATTACTAAAAATTAGACTTTCAAATACACATTAAGATCCCCTTATCTTGGGAACAACAGATGGCTTAATGGTTATGTCACTGGACTCCCACGTAGTCCACTATGGTTCAAGTCCTAGACACGGCAGCTTAAAATTCACACCAGGCATGTGTGCATGCATGCCTAAAATCCTGAGAGGAGAATAGAGAAGAGATTGCAGCATGGCCATTCCCCCTGGAGGGTGATTTCTCGCTTTCTGCTTCTGTCTGTCTCTCCAGCAAGTTCATGTGCCCTATAGCAAAAATCTCTTTTTAAAAAAAAAAAAAAAAGTTCCCTTTATCCTTACGGTATTATTCCACTAGAGATACAGAGTCCAAATACTGTGTTTAAAGTCATTTTGAAATAACTGTGTGGGGGAGTGAGGGCTGGACCTCAATTTGATACACACTTAAATTCAAATTTATTACTGCTGGTTTTCGATTTTTAAGGGTTGCTATTTTTTTAACCTTTATTTTTAATTATGTAAAAGATGTACAAGTTTCCAAAGTCAAATCTATAAAATAAGATACATTCTCACAATTTCACGTCTGTCTCTCCTTCCCCATCAAGGAACCCACATTAAGCAGCTTTTGGTTTACCTTTTCATGCTCTTATTGTAACAAACTAAGTAAGGACGTGCGTGGAGACAGTCGCTGTGCCCTCTGCACAAAGGGCAGGGCGCTATCACAGTTCAGCGTAGGCTGTGGGTTCCGCACTGACGACCCTGGAAGCCACTCGGGATCAGCATGGAGAGCCACTCATCACTTAGAACTACGCAGTGCTCAACTGTTTGGATTTGCCGTCCTTTACTCAGCTTGTCTGTCTCAGTGGACATCTCATCATTTCCAGTCCTTTTCTCGTATAAATAACACTTTAAAAACTGCTATGTCTCCAAAAAAATGCACATTGTTGTTACTTACCTTATGGCTGAGCTGAGGGGTGCCAATAGGGAGAACTAGCCTGGTTTTTAACCACGAAAATGCTACTGTGTGGCAACTCCGAGGGGACAGAGAAGGGACGGCCGTGGGCTTTCAGGCTTGAGCTCCAGCCTGGTAACCAGCAAGACCCGCGTTCAGACCCCGACCCCACGGCCCGCTGCGCGGCTCCGAGCACTGACCTGCCCTTCCCTGGGCTGGAGCACGGCACCTATAAAACGGGAGGTCACAGGCCCTCGCAGCTCTGTGGACATTCCTGTCATGAGCAAGTGCGACAGCACACTCAGCCCTTGCACACAGCGAGTACTTGGTAAATTTCCCTACCACTATTAATTAGGATCATTTTCCCCTGATTTTTGAATCTTTCATCACAAAACTAGGAGGGCCCAGATGAATGAGGCGGTCATCCTAGACAAGGGCAGGGCAGGCCCACCTGGGCTGCCCTCCAGACCAGCAGCTCACGCCTGCTGCAGGTTCAGAGGGGGTAGCAGGCCAGCGGGCAGGTGTTCCCAGAGAGTGTGTGTTCACCCTGACCTTGGGCTGGAGGGGGGAGCACGCCAACTGCCTGCGAATTCCTGCGGGAATGAGACTGACCCTGCCCTGTGGTTTCTTGGCTTGCGAAGGTCACCTGTCACCTCCAGTCCCTCCCCCACTTCTTTAGCCACCACCAGAGCTTAAACGCTGGGCTCAGGAGCACCGCCCTGACGCGCATGCATACTGACCCACGGCTGGGCTGTCCACCCACGGCTCTGACCCGGAGCGGCTGCCAGGCTGGCACAGCAGACACAGGAGCATGCCACTTTCCAACAGAGGAGGCCAGTGCCTGCCAGGGAAGAGCCCTGAGCCATGCCCCGGATGGCCTCCATGAGTGCGAGCACAGAGGCATGGTCACGAGGAGACGCTGGCCCAGGCCAGAGGGGAACGTGCCACCTCTGGTTCTCACAATCCCGCGAGGTGCCTCTGGGGCATAACACGGGCCTTTGGCAGTTCCAAGGCCACCACACGGTCATGGGGCCACCCCGGGCAGAGCTGGCCTGGCAAGCAAGGGCATCTTCTCTCGCATAGTAGAGGGTCTTGGTGGGATCCCCACCACCCCCGGCCCCCGCCAGTGGCTGGCTGATGAACAGGCACAGGCTCCATCCTGATACCACAGGGGGAGTCTGGGAAATACCACATTTGGAGAGGTTGGTTTTATTTGTTTGTTTGTTTTCTCTATAGGGTGCGTGCACTCGCCAGACAGACAGAGAGAGACAGAGAGACAGAAAGCAAGAAATCACCCCCCGGGGGGATGGTCACGCCGCAATCCTTTCTCTTCCATTCTCCTCTCGGGATCTTGGGCACGCACGCACACGTGCCTGGCGTGAGTTTTAAGCCACCGGGTCTGGGACGCGAACTGCGGTCGACTATGTGGAAGTCCAGAAATACCACATTTGGGAAAATGTTTGTCAGAGCAGAGGCTACCATGGCTCTGCAGGCTAACGCTCATCCATGGGAAGGAAGTGAGCAAGCCCAAAGCCCTGGCCCCTGGCCCCAGAGCTGACCTATCTCTAGACTTTCTGGTGGGTAAGAAAATGCAGCCCCCACCCTTCAGCCAGATCCAGAGTCCAGCTTTTCTGTTACTGAAATCAGAGGCAAGCAACACCTACGGTCAGCACTCCTGCCTTCTAACACATGACAGACTCGGACGGCCCGGCAGGCAGGCACAGTGCAGCCCACAATGCAGCCGAGGACCAGGCAGCTGAGGGCGGCACACGCCCACCAGCAAGGGCAGGACGCTCTGCTGGCTCGTACCAGGGCAGCGATTTCGGTTTCAAAATGCCAGGGAAAGGGGCAGAGGGGCCAAAACCTTGTGAGGAGCAGCTAATCCCTGACCAACAGCCTCAGCCCCTGCACCTGGCTGGGTGGTCCCCGAGATCGCGTCCACCCGGGAGCCTCAGACTGACTGCCTGGAGACAGGGCCACTGCAGAAGTGACTGCCTCAGACCATACTGCAGCAGGGCAGCCCTGCGTCCCACCGTGGGGTCCTCACAGAGACGAGACAGACACTGCGGGGAGGAGTGCACATGACAACGGGGCAGACTGGAGGGATGCGGCCACAAGTCAGGGCAGGCCCCCAGGAGGCAGGGCCAGCACAGACTCCGCCCTGCACCCTCATGGCTTTGCCAAGGCTTGGATTTGGGACTTCTGGCCAAAGAACCATGAGAGGATCCATTTCTGTTTGAAGACATCCAGACTGAGGGGATTTGTTGTGGCTGACCTAAGAAATGGAGGCGGTCCCCTGGTTAACAAAGCAGTATCTGGGACAGGGAAGGAAGGCCTAGTCCAAACAGGACATGTCCTGGCGCCCCGCAGAGAGGGTGGCCATGTGACACAGTTCTGGCCAATGAGACGCGGCAGCCATGACTGGGTGGACGTGCATGCAATCTCCCGTGTTCCTGGTGCTGTGTGCTTCACCTTCCCCTTACTGCCTGGGTCAGAACCGTGGTGCCCGGAGCCGCAGTGGGTGTCTTGCAGCACACAGGCAGGGCGAGGTCATGCTCGTGGGTATGGAGAAGACCTTGGCTGGTAACCCAGAGCTGCAGAGCCATCGGGCCTTCTACCTCAGAGAGAAATGCCAACCCCTGCCTGGCTCACGTGCTCCCGAATGTTTCCTGTCGGTGCAGCCCTGAGGGTCACACACCTTTCAGACAGGCACGGGCCAGGACAGGCTGTGTGTGCAGAGGCCCAGGCAGGACACACTGCGTGTGCAGAGACCCCGAGTCAGAGAAGAGGCTATCGGACAGCTTTCAGGCTGCCATCTAGAAAGGCGGGGTGGCATTGAGGGGAGATGACGGCCAGCGAGGCCCAGGTGGCCCAGGGTGGGTACACGCCCGGCAGTGCCCCGCCTTGCACTGGGAGGGCTCTGCACACCCACCACCCCCAACTTCAGCCCCGCACTTGTCTGCCTCAGGGCAGGGAAATCCAGAGCCCAGACTCCACACCTGTGCCCACTGTGACTGTAATGGCGGGGGAGGGGACACTCTGACCAGTGTTTCATAGTCGAGTTAAACGACAGTGCAGAACGGATGTGGGCAACGCAGGGTCTAATGTCTGCACTGACAAAGGGCCCTCCCTTTCAGAATAAGGCATCTCCTACGAAGTTAAAGACAGCACTGGGCATCTTCTTGACCCGTAGATAAAAAGAAGCTGACTCCAATCTGGGAAACCAGGTGGGAGCTCAGGGACAAGAATGGTGACCATCTGGGAACCAGCAGTTAGCATAATGGCTATGTCACTGGACTCCCACGTAGTCGACTGCGGTTCGCATCCCGGACCCGGTGGCTTAAAACTCACGCCTGGCACGTGTGCGTGCGTGC